TGGTCACAAGACAGCTTCAAGAGTCTCTCCCGTCGCCCATCCATCGAACCTGCACGAAATAAAAAACCGGGTTAGTGTCGAGCAAATAAGTGGACAAATGACAAGCAAAGAAAATCAAGCAACAAACGACCTAGCAGACGAGCAGCCTGCCCGAATGACTGGCACTCCACGAATGCCTTAGTATCGATCGGTCGGGCCTCGAATGTCGGATAACCCCCCTCGTCCAGGACATCTTCCCCCTCCCTCGTAGCCCACCTGGAGGGGTGGAAGCTATCAACGTACCGACAGAGAGTGTCATAAGCTTTCTCATCCTCGGAACCCATGTCGCCCGCAGAAGTATGATAATATCCAGTTTCGTGCTCGTAATGCCTAGAAATCCAATGCACGGGGAACTTGGCCGTACGTCCCAACACCGGATACCCGTCGTTATCTAAAAGTGCCTCCCCGTCATCATCGCTTATCGGCGCTTCCTCCTCGTACAGGAACTCTAAAGCGGCTGTGGTAACCGGCCTCACGACATACCACTTGTCTTTAAAACCCCGCACGGAGTCCATGTACATCTTGAATAGTCTCTTCGACTGTTTCAAGGAGACCCAACTGTGCTTTCCTCCTCGGGACTGGCGCTGCAGATGGAAAATTCTGAAGAAGAGAGGTATAGTCGCCCCGATCCTCAGAAAACGACAGGTCAGCTCAAACGCCCGGATAAAGGCGAGCGAGTTCGGGTGTAGCTGCGACGGGGCCAGCCCCAAATGGGCGAAGACCCCGGCCTGAAAGTCGTTGAAGGGCAGCTGCAGCCCAAGGTCTTTGAACGTAATTTCGTACATGGGAAAACTGTACTCAGGGTACACCGAGCAAATCCGAGCAGTGGAGGTTGGTCGCGTAACGACGAAATTCTTTTGAAAATCAGGCTGACCGTGCCTCGCCTCAAGGACAACGTATGGCTTTCGTCTACGCCGACTATAGACCGAGGCGATTCCTCTAGGCTCGGCGCCCACCCAGTCCAACAGAGGGTCTTCTACGGTGTCGATCAAACTTACAGCCTCATCGACACTTTGTTCCTCCCTTTCGGGGCGTCCGGAAGAGCACGGCTCGTCCGCCATGGTTACCTGCAGAGCACGGGAAACCAGTCAATTGGGCACGAAACCATACGCTCGACGTAACGGACTAGATGGAGTGCGCGACAAACCATGTCGCTCCACGCGCGACTACAGTTGGTTTGAAACAAAATAGCAGTCGCCTCCCCGACTTCCCGATAACTCGACGGGTCCTTCTCCAAGCCGCCTAAACAAACCGACAACGCGGTCGCTCACGAACACGCCGACCCGGGGTATGAACATGGCGAGCAACATCATAAAGCCTACAGCCAGAGCCATGAACATACCGGGCACAATCATGAATTAGGCGCCCTGGATCATGAAGACCCCGGGCAGCACTGCAAATTATAACCTAAACCATGTATGTACCGACCACGAGCATGTGTTTGCCGGTCCTAAGCATGAATTTGTCGAGCTAAACATGAATTTACCGGGCTAGTCCCACGCGCACAGCCTCTAAAAACGTCTAAAACGATGAAAATCATGCATCACAACAGAAAAACAGAGAAGATAAGTCACTTACTTGGAATCAAGGAGTGGATTCGGCAACGGAGGAAAGGAATCTGTGACGGAGATCGTGGCGATGCTATGAGAATCTGGAAGAACAACAGCAGCAGAAGCGCGAAGAGTAGCAACGCGTTATGGGGCCCAAGGACCCTATTTATAGTGATGACGTGGAATACCAAACGTCACCTCGGGCAACCACAGAGTTTCGCTCCTCGACGCACGGCCCCCTAGGCAATAATGACCATATCCTCATAGGGTGGCGGCACAGTTCCCAAAAGATACCTCGCGCGCTCGACAGACGCGTGCCGTTGAGGAATCCCCGAGCACTCTCCGCGAGGAGCACCCCACGAGGAGTTGCGTCTCTGACCCGAGCACGAGGCCCCGAAACGGAAGCAACCTAAGATCAAGCCATGGCTCCTAACCCAAGGAACCACGACTTGGGGGGCTCCTGTTCTGGACTGGGCCCGACTGGCCCAATAGCATTGAGAAAGCCCAATCCAAACGGGCTTGCTGGGGGTCACGCCGACCAAAGGATCACAGTCGTGCCCGACGTGTTCCCTGGGGCTACTTGCTCGACCTCCCGCTGTCCAGCTCGACATCACCTCGAGCACCCCCCTAGGGCAGACTCAGTCCACTGCACTCTCAACGGGACTCCGAAAAGACCGCGTCTCTGTCCGTCTGCACTTCACGCAAGACATCCAGGGAGGGGACCACGTGCGGGTCCCCACTACGCACGTAGAACCTGGCAGTTCCTCCATTGGGGCAAACCTGCCCGGCCCAATGAAGGAACCTTGGCCCAGCGCTGGGGGCTATAAATACCCTCTGATTCCAGAGGGTCAGGTATTGATCATTCTACCCATACTTATTATTGCCTGCTCGTGCTCTTACTTACTTCAGCATCGGAGTGTCTTGCAGGTACCCCCCACCTCGTTCAAAACTTTCAACTCGGAGTCAGCCGTGACGGTCAAAGTCTGATCAAGTTAGATCAAGAAGGATCATAAATAAGTGGTTGATTCAATAATAAATAAGCATAAACATAATGGAAAAAAGCTACCATCAATTTTAATGCAGAGGTCTCGATATCAAAGTGCTTGCATGGATGCAGAGGTCAAAATGTTGGAATTAAATGTGTTGTTGCTGAATATTGTCAAAGAAAAAACATATAATATCCAATCATATTTAATATGTTTATTCTTCATCAAACATATTAGATGTTGAAAGTCAAATCAATTAGGTTCAATCACCACCAATTCTGTTGCATATAGACATAACACTGAAGCTTAACAAATCACGCATTCCAATCAAGTTAAAGCATGGCACAGATTGACAACATGACATATTTTCTAAACTAAACTATGAAACTTATATATGTTATGGATGGTTCATTTCATGTTTATATTTTCTAGTGAGACACAGAACTATTATACAAATTGTCGCAACTGATTTTGGGAAATAAATAAAGATAATGAAAATAAATATATCTTGAAACATGTGGATCATAAACAAATCCAGAAAATTGTTGTTCAAAATTATATAAAAACGTTAAAAATAATGCAGATAGAGATCAAAATGAATATTTATGAGAACGGATAATATGATATTCGTGTTCGCACCGTTGAACAAATATGATATTCATATTCGTCTAATATCCGTGTGGATATCCTCTAAACGGATAATCTATAGGTTTTAAGTTATCCGCAGATATTTACAAATATTCATGGTTAATATTTTTTTTTAATTTATGTTTTGAAAAATATTATTAGATTATTTTAAAGACATTATAAATTATTTTCATACAACAACAATACGAATTTCTATTATTTTTTTCAACAAAATTTCATCACATTAATTTTTATCATTTTCACCAAAGCATAATAATCATATATTTTATTTTTAATAAAATAAATTGAAAGATATTGTGATTGTGAGTTATGGTGGAAGAGCGTACAACAGAGGAGTAGAAAAGATGTCACTCGTTAGACAGAGAAAGGACAGTATTGGTTTGTTGGACGATAAAAATGTTGAAGTGAGGCATGAGAGATAGAAGAAACTTAAATATGAAATGACGAATATGATTTGTATGGACTATAAATATATTTTTCAATGAAAACTTAAAAATATATATGAGGAGATTAATTTTTAGAAGATGAAAAGATATAGTATAATAAACTAATAATATTTAAGTAATTTTTATAATTTATTAACAGATATCGATATGGATATCCACGAGCACAAGTAACATTAAATCTGTATTCATATTAAATAATAAATAGATATTTAAATATCTATTTATTTTATCCGTAAATATCTATTAAATTATATGTCTCGTATCTGTGACGTATTTTATATGCAGATACAAATTTTTTTCCATCCCTAAATGCAAATGAGCATGTCACTTCTTCTTCTCAATATTCACCTAAAAAACAACAATGAGCAACAAACAACATTCAACTAAAAAACAACAATGAGTTAAAAAAAACAGTTAAAAATAACATTCATATAAAAGATCGGATAAAAGGCTCTTTCAGATAAAAACATCTAGTTAAAATCATTGAGGCAAAGAGTACACCTATGTTGTTGTTCAAATATGTCTAATCAGAGAGATATGCATCAATGATGGAGAATGGACAGGGGTGAGAAATTTGAAAAGTTGTCTCGGTAGTGTTATGTGATAGCTCAAAAATATCAACCGTGTGATTAAAAATGATCGATAGTGATTGAAGTGTGATACGTTTTTAATCATTTGATAAAGGTTATGTGATTATGGTTGAATAACAGAAAATAGGCGTCAATTGAGTGTTTGTAGCAAAATAATATAAGATAGGAGAATAGTTAAATTAACTGAGATGGCAGCAATGGATACAGTAGGGATATTATTGAAATTTCATTTTCTTTCAACTTTTATATTGATATATTGATATTGATATGCAATAAATTTATATTTATAATATGTTAAAAAATTTCATTCTCGAGGATCACAGGACACAACACATAGACTTTTTAAAGTTTAAGTCTCACGTGATCAAAAATTTCGAAGTCTAAATTTAACGTACAAATTATCATAGGTTTATTGTTAAGTTTTATTCTTATCTTTTTGAAAATCTAATATGATATATTAATCTATTTAAAAGTTTATTTCATAAGAACGAACTTTAAAATTAACGGTCCATAAAAATCTAGTCAATTAGCCCACAAGTTCGAAGTAATAATATTCGCATAAGTGAATGAATTAGATTCACAATCACATGTTATATATACAGAATGATTTATTTTACTCTATAGTTAGTGTAATGCTATAAATGTAACTTGTGAGACACTCCACTCTCCATGTACCTTAAAAACTTGGCCCATTAATTTGACCAAACCAAAGGATCGAATCAAACTACACTCTCTTAAAATTCATACAAAGTTATAACTTTTGTTAAAAGGAGTTGGAAATACTGATAACAATAGATCATCATTTTGACTCTCTATTATTGTAGGATTCTCTCTTGCAACAGTTGTGATATTATGCCTTTGAGGTGATCTTGGTGGAGAAGCATAGAAAGTAGAAGCTTCTAGAACCTCTCTTCTAACACTTGCTAACTCTTCAGAGATTCTTTGTGCGCGAAGCGCTGTTAGGTATAAACCAGCAGCTAAGAAAACTGTTGTTAAACCAAACACTCCCGCGGCTGAGAACAAACCTTCTCTTATGGTGTAGCAACCTGTTCTTGGCTTGGTCCAGTTTTTTAAATGGCCTGATTCTACACTTAGTCCTGCTAATAGTAAAACCTCCGCGACCGCAAAGCAAATCCTATAACATAACAAATCCTGTTAAATTATGTTACCAAACATTTCGTATTGAAGGTGTGTCTGGTGTCTGATGCCAGACACGCGTAGATATATATATTTATCTTACCAAGTTGTGATGAAGAAAAAACCAGCCAACCATGTTAAGGATTTAGCAGAAGGAGAATCAGGATCCCAATTAAGTAAAGAAGGTGATGATTTACTCACTGCTATTAACATATAAGTATGCTCCATAACCAAAGCAATTGCTAATCCAACAAAAGCAGCAGCAGCACATAACAAAGGAACTTTGCCATTACTATTGTAAACACATTCGGATTTATTTCCGTTTTCTTTTCCGTCTCTATTCATCCATGTCACCTATCATATCAACCGCGGCAAATTATATGTGTATATTTTTCAATTTAACGAATCAAAACGACAAGGTCTGAATATCAATAAAAAGTATTGTACCTCAGAACGCGTGGCTTCAGCTATTAGACATAAAATGAAACATAATAAGCCTAATAGAATTGTGACAACCATAAGAAAAGCTGATGTCTTGCTACTCAAATCTGTTTTGCTTCTTTTTGGTTCAAGGTCGGCATGTGTAACTGCCATTCTCTATGACTTTGAGAGAGAGAGAGAGTTTCTAAGAGAAAAGAAGAAGAAAAGGGAACAGAATTTTTAGTTCAAATGGAATGAATATGAAAAAGAAGGAAGAGTAGTTCTAGAATTGCTTGGAGCAAAGGTTGCTTAAAGGCTAAATATTCTCTTCCACCGTGTGAGATTTAATACTAAGAAGTATATCACAATGGCTATTGTTAATTAGCACCATAAGTTTATCTTTGTGATGTTATTATGAATGATGAAGATAAAGCTAATGCTATTGTGTTATGACAAAGCAAATACGTTTACATTAAGACACTTTCACTCATAAAGTTAAGTGTGCCTTTCAGTTAATTCAGTTTTCTTAATCACAAGTAGGTAAAGTAGTTTTTGCATAAGGTAGTGCAACTACATGAACCTAAACCATTGGTAAAGGCCCTTTAAATAGTTTATTGCAAAATCAATTAAGTAACACAAAAATAGAAATTCGAAATAAACAATGAATGAATACATATTTATTGAGAATTTCTTAGTAAACTCTTATAGGGATGAACTAAACCTCTTTTGTGTTTATGATCATACTCAATACTACGTCCGATCTTATTTATAAGAAAAATTTATCTTTTTAAATACATTGAATAACTAATGTATTTGGATAATATATAGATCAAATACATTAGTTATTCAATATATCTAAAAAATAAATTTTTTTCTTATAAATGAGATCAGAGAGAGAGTATTTTTCTAAAAATTACAAAAGCAATACGAATTATATTCTATGATTGTATTAATTTCTAATTATGATGTTTTCTTTATGACTCTTCCTCTAAAGGAAAGGAGAACAAAAGGTTGAACAGTATGGTGAAGTAAAAAGATGCTTGATGAACAAGTCTTTCTAAACAAGGAAGAGAAGAAATCCAAGGTAAAAGAAAAGGAATCAAAACTGTAAAATAATAGAAAGAGAATGAATTCTGTGCTTGAGACTTGGGGCAAAGCATTATAAGAGATGAACGGTTATTACTATTCTCTAGACTAGAGTTGAATATTCTTTTCTAAAGCTTTCTGATGTGGAAAAGTTATGAATGAGAAGGACAAAATTTATATATAACTGCCAATAGACACTATAACAATATGGATGGTCACAAAAATAAATATAATATTCATACCAAATTTTTATGCATATGTTGTGCATGCTAATTGTTAAGGTATTGGCCTATCTGAAATGTCTTTGGTTTTATATTTCATCTCTTTAATAATTGATATACTTTTAAAATATTTTATCTATTTATCTATCAATCTATTTTTTTAAGAAAAAGTAAGTGCTTGATTACCTAGTTAGCTTTTCTATTATTCCCTGTTTTATTAGTTAAAACAATTGAAAAATCACTTATAAGCTACAACAAGCTACAACTCCAATTTATTTTAAACCTGTAAATTGGTTTAGATTAAGCTGTTGGATCCCACCTAATTAATCTAGCTACTTCCGTAAAAGTTTTCAAATTGCATGTCATTGTCCCAACGTTTTATATGGCCCATTTACAAGCCTTCTAATCACATAATACAACTTGTGTCATGACACTGTCTAAATACTAAGAATTTCTCCTAAAATTTTATAAATGCATGAAAATGCCTTTGTTAAAAAATTAATTTTCAGACTCACCTTTGTACTATGTTGTTTATATGATTTCACTCAAAATGATTAGTGAGGTTTTTTCGAAAGTTAAAATTCGGATATTATTATATATAGAAAAAACTACTTATCCGTAGGAAACAGTAAACATCGGAAATTTATGTGAAAAATTGTTACAAAATAAAAAAATCATAGAAAATTTCAAAGTTAAATCAACAGAATATTTCGTAGGAAATTTCGCAAGAAGTTATAATGTCTGAAAGTTAACTTCTAAATGCATCTCGTATTGTTTAAACTTCTTATAAGTAGTTAAGAATACCAAAAGTGTTCAAAAAAATACCAATCCAACCATGACTACAAATCAGAACGAAAAATAAACAGAAAAAGCAAAAACTACCCAACTAACACCCAAGAGGAACAAAAATCAACCCAACAATTGTGAAGTCTAGTTGGAGTCCTCAGGCAAAAACCAATCCTAGGAGAGAAAAAGCTGCAAGAAGGTAGGCATGAACACCTCCATAAAATAAAAGAGGACAATTGGTCACCCAACACACCTCTAATTGCCCAGTCACTCAATTCGGCCCTGCTCCTAGTCAACCAGAGAAATGGAAAAACCAAAAGCATGTGCATGAATCCACTTTTGAGTCAAACTAATAATCATAGACATCGAGTGATTAATCGTCAATCTTTTTCGATCAAAAAGAACTTTATTCTGTAATTTCCAAATAATCCAGACAATAACATGCTAGGTCGAGATCAAGCCTAAAGACATTTGTTTTCCATGACTAAAACCCTAGGACAACTCAAAAAACCCATAATCGAGTGTGGCAAAGGCCCCGACCGCCCCACCCACTTAAAAACCTTGTACCATATGAAAAAAGAAACCCCACACAAAACAAAAAGATGATCTATCGACTCCACCTGCCCAATTCAACCCGAACTACTAGACCTTGACACAATTTGGAGCCTTAGAAGATTTTGCATCGACAACTTATTTTAGATAAACTTCCAAGAGAACATCACCATTTTAAAAGGTGCAAAACTATTCCAAATCCTAGAAAACCCTAGCACAACCTTCTCAAACCTACCCTTCCCGACCCCAGGCAAAACCAAAAGGTTATTATTCTGGACTGGCCCAATGACTAGAATTGGGCCAATCTGCTTCCACCTTCAAAGTGGCCCAAACAACATTGGCCTGCTAACTCTAGTCCTCGATCGAGCACACTTAGTCGATCACACAACAAGAGTATCAAGGATAACGATACCCTGGCCGTACGTCTTCCCGCATCAACGTCCGCCTTCAAGTCTGCTCGTTGTACATCGAGTAGACCACCAGAAAGATGCTCACAACACATCTTCTCGTCATCTGATCCTTACTCGGAGCAACGGTTAGTTACGGGCATGACTTCCTGTTTTGACCAAGTCCTGACAGTTTCCTATTTTTGAGGAACCTAATATCTAGGCCCAAAAATAGAAATCAATGGCTACACGCCAGGGGAATTATATAAATCCTCACCCTTGGGAGGGCCAGGTATCCAATATTCATTCTAAAATCCTACTCTCTTTCTTGTATCTCTTTATACTCTTTCTCACTATATTGTTGGAGTGACTTGTAGGGTATCCCTCTTCTCTCCTCATATTTCCAGCCAAGAAGACGTCATCATCTCGGCCCACCTCAGATTCTGATCAACTGGTAAGATCATTGGAGCCGTCTTTGGGGAAAAAATGTCCTCGTCTTCTTCCTTCCCAAAACAAGAAGACCAAAGCAGCTTTCAATACTCTTATCATGGCCAATAACGATGACCACCATCTTTCTGGAAAGACTGTGTTCTCCCTTGTTTGCAAGGCAGACATGAACGAAGAACTTGCCCACCTAGAGGAGGTCCCCAACATCAGAGATGGTCGAACCGCGTCTCCTGACTCGGTTGACACAGACTGCAACGACACCCATTTCTTGGAAAATCAGAAATCCAAGAAAACCACCGAGGAGCTACCAGAAATCCTCCAGCCCATTCCAATTCGGCCCAACTTCGATCCGGCCATGGAAGCTCTGCTCGTTGCCCTCAACTGAACCAATATTCTAATCCAACAATAGAGCAGTAGAATGAGATCTTAGGAGAAAAATATGTCGAAGTCTCCTCCTCGGAGACACCGACAACACGAATCTTCGAGTCTATCACCACCTAGGCGTGGTCGTCCTCATACACGGGATAAATAAGAGGTTTTCTCTCATTAAGTAACAAGGTTGCACACCTCCCTATAAAGATTGATTCTCCCGATCTCCAAGAAGACAAAGACCAATCGGCTTGACCGCGACCACTCACCGTTGCCCAAGACAAAAAGGAGCACATCTCCTTGACGGGACAACATCCCCCGACGAGGAAGGAACCACCATTCTCCATCACTTTCTCCTGATGGAAGTCACAAGGACGAGTCCTGCGACCCATTATCAAGAGAAATCATGGATACCTCACTCTATGTCAGTCTGGAGAAACCCCGTCACCTGGGGACCTATGATGCAACCACTGACCCGGAAGAGCACATCGAAAACATTGATGCGCTGCTCGACTACAGAGGGGTCCGTGGAGTAATCAGATGATGGATTTTTCCTACAACGCTCAGGAAAGGGGCCATGGTGTTGTACCCCAAAATTTTCCCTCTCACTTATCAAGAATTTGCTCACAAGATCTCCTTGGGCTCAAGACTGCACTAGGGTTTGATCAGCTCAAGACACCTCCTTAAGCACTGATGACCAAAATTAGGATTTGAGGTTGCACAAGGATAATTGAACTTTCAATGCTTCATATGACTTTCATGGATCATTATGAACCCCCAATATCACTCATGTCAAGTTTCAAGCTTTGAATCACACTTTTGCTCAGTCAATTGAACAGTTGACCTAAAAATCAGTTGTATTGGGAAAAAGTCAACTATGGCCAATTTACAGTCAAACTTCATAATTTTTGATCCACATCAACATTTTAAACTCATATGTATCATTTGATCATGTTTGGACCATAATTCCTCAAGAAATTTGATCAAATCAGCAAAAGGGCAAAATGGTCAAAATTAGGGTTTTGATTGGGAAAAGGGACTTTTCTGATTTTTGACCAAGAAAATGATCAATTGGTTTAAGGCATGATCTCAATAGTCCAATTGCATCATTTTGACCTAATGGCATGGCTCAAAACATTGCTCAACTTCAAAGAATTAACAGATGAATTTTCAGTCAACTGATCAAAAGTCAACTGTATACTGAAAAGTCAAAGTTTGACTTTTTGGTCAAATTCAAATGCCAAAGATCATAATTCATTAAAACATTTCAAAATATGAAACTTCTTCATCAATAAATCAAAAAGTCAAGATTTCATTTTGAAAAGTC